AGCATCTCCTGGCAACTCTTTTGTCCTTGTTATAAACAGTTGTCAACTTGAATTTGTTTTGTCATTAGAAAAATATCCACATCGCTTATGAATGTTTGAAAATGTCATTGATAATAACAAACATTGTGTAAGGGGGTATATGGATTTAAATAAACACTTTCCTTTTCTTAATTAATTCTTTCCAAAACTTCCAATTTTCGGAGATTAAACGTAAGACTCCATCTTCTCCACTCAGCTAAAGGTGAATTTCTACCCGAGAAGACGACGTTTAAAATAATTGTGAAATACTGCTAGTATCAAAGATGTCTGTCTGTACGTTTGACTCTTAAAGCTCATTTGTTCCTATTTTGGTCACGTTTCCTAATGATCTTTCATCGATAGGGAGCTAGTCAAGTGTCCATATAATCTGTATAAAATTTTGCACTTTGAACAAGCAAACGCTGATGAGGAAGTCTCTATGTGTTTATTGAAGGAAGGTTCAGTCATCGTTGCACAGCTTGGGGTGTTTAAACGAAATATTTCTCGTTGCCAGTTGCCTCAGTACAAGAAAAAGGAAATGATTACAGAACAATGTCGACAACAAAGTTCACTAGGAGTGGAACACAGACGAAAACCTTTGTAGAACTGATATGCAACCCATCTTTTGGAGGTGGATTACATGAAATATTTAATTTTTTCTCAGCAGTGCACATTCTCCTCTCCATCACAGCATTCCTTACAAATTCTCTCATCCTTGTTGCCCTTCACAAGGAATCTTCCCTCCACCGACCGTCCAAACTCTTGTACCGTTCTCTGGCAACAACTGACCTGTTGGTTGGTCTTGTTGCCCAGCCTCTCTATGCTACTTATTGGATGTCCTTAGTTCAGGAACACTGGAGCCTTTGTCGATACGCATTTGACGCAGCCTACATCACGGGGTATGCATTGTTTTTAGTGTCTTTGATGACGATGACGGCTATAAGCGTGGACAGACTTCTCGCCCTGTTGTTGGGGCTGAGGTACAAACAAATTGTAACTTTGAAGCGCACATATATCATTGTAGCTACCATCTGGATTTTGGCTATTGTCTCTTCTTTATGCGCTTTACTTGATGACCGTATAATTCTTTTGCACCGTCTCATAACTATACTACTTTGCCTTGTTATTTCACTTGCATCATACACAAAGATTTTTCGCACTCTCAGATATCATCAGGTTCAGGCAGAAGATCCCGTTCAACAACAGCCGAGCCAACTAAATGTACTGAACATAGCTCAATACAGAAAAGCAGTGTATAGTGCACTGTGGGTGCAGTTAGCATTAGTTGTTTGTTTTGCACCATTCTTTATCGTGGTGACCGCGATTGCACATAGTAACAAAACACATTCATCGCACTTGGTCATCCTATGGGGAATAGCCGATGTCTTGGTTTACTTTAACTCGACGTTAAACCCGTTTCTTTACTGCTGGAGGATAAGTGAAGTAAGACAAGCAATGAAGCAGACAATCAGACAAGCACTTTGCTGTTCATGGAGTTAGACCATCTCGAGTTTTACCCGATCGTACTGGTACTTTCAGTTCAAAACTTGTATTTTTTTTCACATCTTAACAACTAAAGGGAAGGCAATGGAAAAGCTAACCATAAATTTGTAAAATTATTTTTAATGCTACCTCACATTATCATGATTAGATCAATTCATAATCTAAGAAAAGATATGCGCGCGCATGATCATACTCTCACGTTTGTTATTATAAGAAAGTGTAAGGAACAAAATTGAAGCAAGAACGGTTAGTACAAAGTTCTCTTTCAGGTTCACCGTTTGAAATTATATGCTAACGAGAAAAAAGGAATATTGAATGAAAAAAAAAACCATCGAATTTTAAAAATATTAGTTAGAATGGGTCGTTTTATAATCAGCTTGTTCCTGATTATTTTTCAGTTGTCTCCAAGTGATTTTGATTCTATGTTCACCATTTCCGAGCGATTAACTGTCCCAAACTTTCCCCTATATTTCTTTCAAGTCGTTTCATAAAGTTTTATTGAATTCAGAATTGACTAAAATACAGCGAGAATATTTCCAATTGATTATCGGGCCTAGAAATAGCAGTATATCTAAATATACTGCTTATTTCTTTACTTAAAAAAGTCGAAGTCGAGTTCCTTTAATGTATTGAAAACAGTAATATAGCCGATGTCTTCACGTTTGCCATGGGATATGACTTTAGTGCTAATTTGTACTTGAAGTAAATTTTATTGATTGAGGTAAACAGCTAATAGCAGCCAATTTAAACACAGCGGTCAAACACTGCGCATGCACGTGTTTTGAAAAGAATACAAGGGATTTTCAAACGCGTGTATTACGTGAAGTGAAGAAGGAAAGTTTAGATTCCTAACTATTTCAAATTGAATGCGTAATAAAGTTGAAAGAGGGATTTCCGAGAGAGCTTAAAGCTTGGTCTTATTTTATATTGAGATATCTCAACTTATTTTTAACGCAGACGCCTTGTTCCGGCGATGAAGGCAAATTACAGAAGCTTACTTTTACCCTCGCCAGCATGGCCAAGCTTACGACTTCATTTACACCGCTAAGCAAAGTGTAAAAAAAAGTACGAGAGTATAAACTAGCACAACATGGGTCAAGTCTAAAACAACAATGTGTATAAGCCTAGGCCTTAGAAACTTTTAACTTTCCCAAGAAACAGCTAAAAACTACGCATCACTTAGATTATCAATGTTTATAATAGCAAATCATCCATCTAAAAGCGCATGCGTAATCATTTGACCGCTGTGTTGCCCATTTATCACTGTTTAGGTTAGTTGCTTGTTGCGCACCAATCTATAGTAAAACATATCAGTCACACTTAGTCGTTATATGGAGAGTATCAGTTGTCTTACTTTACTTTAACTTGAATGTCCGTTCTTTACCGCTGGAAAATTAGTGAAGTAAGACAAGCAGTAAAACAGACAATCAGAGAAGCACTTTGCTGTCCGTAGCGTTACCTCCTCCTCGGTTTGGTTTTGTAAGACTTTCATTAAGTCACGATTGTTATTAGGGAGCGCTCGTCAAAAATATTATTGATTAAGCGGAAGAAATAAGAAGTTCAGTAGAATCGTTGTGCGTCGAGCTTTTGTCAATAATCTTTTCAAAGAGTAAACGCTAGTGAGGGAGTTCTGAAGTAAATGTTGCTGATGAAGGTAGAACTGAAGATCTGTGCGGCGAATTTTGATAATTCCTTGGCATACGTCCATTGATTTTGGACCACCACTTATAAATTGTTTTCTTCACTTCAGTATTACGATGTAACCGTTGCAATTAAAGTAGAATTTTGAAAATTGCCCCAGAGCATCACAAAGTTACCTGCCGTTTACACGAGAGCTTTCTTTATACAAAAACACCTTTATTATCTCACTAACAAGACGTAGGAAGAAAGGATATTATATCATAGGGTCACATAGGCTAACTTTTCCCCGTAATTGCTTAGTATTGTCCTCAGTAAAGGGAGAATATTTCATTTAATAATCGGCCCTTAAATGACATCTTATCTTAATATACTGTTTATTTTATCATTTAAAAAAGGTATTATTAATCTATTTGTTTGTCAAAGAAATTAACTTTTAGTGCTAATTTGTACTTAAATTTAAATTCACTGATTCAGATTAGAAACTTGTCGCAGCACACCCAAACGCGCTAGTGGTTCGATCGGCTGCAGTCGCTATTCGGAGGAATTAAAATTTCCAGGATAAAACTCCTGCTCTGCATTAAAGAATTGAATGAGTTGTTTGTTTGTCTATCAGCAATTTTCCCGTCCGAAAATAAAACAATGGATCTAAAGTTAATATCTAAATATATATATAAATCCATTTTCGAAAACGTTGCTATTTGAAAAAATATATTAAATAGTCTGTGTATATATTTTCTTTTCTCATCACAAAGTGTCTCTTTTTGATGAGCAAAGAAAATATATATTTCTTTGATATATATATATATATATATATATTCAGATTTGAAAGGTTTTCAAAAACAGGTATTTACATATATTTATAGAGCCGAAAGAAACGCAGTCATGTAAACGAGGCCTAATACAAGTCCGAATCTGTCTTGACAAGCAGGTGTCTTCTTAACAACTTATTCGTTCCTCAGTGTGCGATAAAAAGCACGTGGCAGTTTTAGTGAGTTTGAAATATGGGTCAGGGTTGGTAAAGACGAAGCCTCTCCTAGAGCAATTGTAATTTTTTTATCGACTGCTGATAAGCCTTGAGCGCCCATCCCTTCATTTTCCATCTCGATTAATAAATTATCTTGTAACTAATTGTCATCACTAAAGGAGAGTCATCAACTGTTTAAGAGAATCGCTGGAACAAAAATTGAATAACTTTCCTTTTACAGTTGCAGAAAATGGTTTGCTGGTGTGACAACTTGATTTTGTTACTATTTTGTTTTTAGTTCTAGTAGGATACGAAACGGAGAGAAAAAAAGCTTCAAAGAGTAATTAGATACGCAGTTAATTTCAAATATTTTGAAACAAGTTTGTATGTGTGGCCGTACATTAATTTTGAATAGTTGTGTAGTCTACGTAGTACATTCGGTTATTGTCACGAATTCAATTTGTCTTCTACAACAACTGACATCGCCAGCTTGAGCTTTTGCATTTTTAGCTTTCCGTAGCTGATAATAATTCAAGTCTTAACTTCACACGAAAGATATGGACCCTTGATTAGCATCCTATTATAATGGAATTTGATACTGATAAAGAGCGACTCTTTGCCGCATTGTAAAAACACTGAAATAACAGATGTTTCTATATTTGCCTTTAGTTGCTATTTCATAACTGAGGAACCCAAAGGTTCCCGAGGAAAAAAATATTTTTTTTGACCCAACAGAAAATTTCCTGATATATTTTAAATAAGTAAGTCTTTATGCGACTGTTAGGTAGAAAGTTAGGCTTAAGGAGTCATTGCTGCCATTTTTCGTTGCAAGAACAGAGACCCACAAGAAAAGGGAAAAGCCGACGACAGAATTATGTCGACAACAAATTTCAGTAGCGGCAGGAGTCACACGAAATCATATGAAGAACTGATATGCTCTCCCTCTTTGATGGGTGGGCATCAACAACTATCAATTTGTTTCTTGGCAGTTTACATTCTCCTCTCCATCACAGCATTTGTTGGGAATTCTCTCATCCTTGTTGCCCTTTATAAAGAATCTTCCCTACATCCGCCGTCCAAACTCCTGTATCGTTGTCTGGCAACCACTGATCTGTTGGTTGGTCTTGTTGCCCAGCCTCTCTATGCTACATATTGGATGTCCGTGTTTCAAGAACATTGGAGCCGTTGTCGATACGCCAGGGACGCAGGCTACGTCACAAGCTATGTATTGATTTTAGTGTCTTTGATGACGATGACGGCCATAAGCGTGGACAGACTTCTCGCCCTGTTGTTTGGGCTGAGATACAAACAAATTGTAACTTTGAAGCGCACGTATATCATTGTAACTACCTTTTGGGTTTTTAACATTGTCGCCTCTTTATGTGGAATTTTTTATCCTAGTATAATCTATTTGTACAGCTGCCTAGTTTCACCATTTTGCCTGGTAATATCCTTCGCATCGTACACAAAGATTTTTTGCACTCTCAGAAATCATCAAGCACAAGTAGGAGACCAACAACGGACGAGCCAAACAAATGCACTGAACATGGCACGATTCAGAAAGGCAGTGGACAGTGCACTGTGGGTGCAGTTAGCATTAGTTGTTTGTTATGCGCCAATGTATACAGTGGAAATTGTGGTCACTCGCACTAACAAATACTCATTACTCTTAGTCGTCGTACGGAAAGTAGCAATTATTTTACTTTACTTTAATTCGACTTTAAACCCGTTCCTATACTGCTGGAAGATTAGTGAAGTGAGACAAGCAGTGAAGCGGACACTGAAAGAAGCTCTTTGCTAAAATAGGTCTTTCTTGAGTTGTTCATCAGACTTTCAAAGCAGGCTTATAAAGTCACGATTATTATTAGAGAGCAGTCGTTAAATAAGTTATTGGATAAAACCAAATTAGTGGCTCAATGAAATAGTTGCGCAGGCTGTTATCGATAGTCTTTACATCTCCGTGAATAATTTAACGACGGACTAAGTAACCCAGCTATGTGTTTTCAAAAATAAGGTTTCTTGCCGCTATGCTAAAATACAAGATGTCATAAAGCAAGAAAATATATGCAAACATTCTACTTTCATGTTTTCTCCTCTTTGTAATATGAAGGCATCAGATAAAACTTCAAAGAGTAGTTTAAGAGATGTGTTTGAGGCCGATGTTGTGTGTTACGAGAAAACTATTTCAACTAGTTTTCCTATAATTAAAAGAAAGCGCTTGACGTTGATGTTGACGCTATATTGCCAAAAGAGACGGTCCAGCTTCAGTCTTGAATTTGCTTTGTTATCAGAAAAATATCCGTAAAGCTCATGAGAAGAAGTTTTTGTTACTTGTATATTTAACTGAAAGTTACGAAAGTAAATGGAATAAAATTGACCATCTCTGTTTGTTACAGAACTTTTTTACAGATCGATTGATGTTCTGAAATTATATTGGCAACAGCGAAAAACAAGTTTCGCATCATTTGCATAGAGGTCACCATATGTCCAGTTTGTCGCTTAGGTATCTTTAGGTTGTCTCTGAGTTTTACGGATTTTATTTCCTCCATTTCTGAGCGGTTAACTGCTGTCCCTAAGTTCCACAATTTTTTTTTTATTTGAGTCGTTTTCAAAGCTTTGTATAAGCTCAGACTTTGCTTCAATATTATACCATCTAATTATCGCCCTAATAACGACATGTTTATTTCACCCGTTAATGTAGATGAATAGATCTTTTAAGACTTAGGAGTCCCATATCGTATTGTAAAACAAAAAACCGAGCCCATGTCTTTGTGTTTGTCAAGGGAATTCACTTTCAGTGCTAATTTGAAATTAAACTGAAATGTTATTTACGGAAATCAACAGTTGCTTGCAACAAAGGAACATGTTCTTGTTTAATTAATTTCCATTCTTCCTTCGCTGTGCTGAATTATTAAAGAGGACCAGAAAGAAAATTCCCTGGGGAAGAACTCGTGTTAAAGGAGGGAATGACGCATCTATTAGCGATTAAATCTTTCGTCTGGTTTTTCAGGGAGCTGGTCTTTGTCTGCAGTTCACATATATGATTTTCAAATATTCACAGTCATATATTCATCACTTCACGGGCTAATATCGAACTCACAGCTTGTTAGCTCAGTTGGTAGAGCACTGCATCGATATCGCAAAGGTCATTGGTTCAAATCCCGTATAGGCCTAAATTCTTTTTGGGCCCTATTTTCGCTACTGCTCAAGAAGTGTTCATTACTGTGAAGATTGTTTTCATATTCACGTTTCTTGTTTTGTCGGAGACGAAACGGAGATAAAAGAGCCACAAAATGTTATTAATTACCCAGTTAAATTCAAATATCCTAAATTAAGTTTGCAGCTGTGGCCTTACATTAATTTTGAATCGCTATATGCACTTAAATTGCTGGACTGTCTGTCATGGATTTGACACCCTTAGCTTAAACCCTCTTTATTTTCAGCTTGCTGAGGCTGATAATGATTTAGGGCTCAACCTTACACAAATGATATGGATATTTGATTGACACCCTATCAATGAAATTAGGTCGCATAAACATCGGCCTTCGATGGTTCCAGTTTCCCATTATTAGCACTGCCTGACTGCGTTCCTTCGCCCACGAGTCGTGTTTCTTAAGGCCTCAAACGTATTGATGGGCGAAGTACCTCATATTGAAACCTTAATAGTGAGTGCCTCATGACAGGCTAAGTAAAGCGGGATTGTTTGTTGCAACAGAAAAAATAATCTTAGAGATGTCTCCAAATATTTGCCTCTTATTCCTATTTCACACGTGATGTACATGACAAGTTGGACACAAAAAAGGCTTTTTTGACACAACAGACGATCTTCTAAAGTATTTCAAACGAGTAAAGATTAATAAGGAAGTTTTTAGAAAATTCATATAGGAAATAGGGTTTCAGTGATCGTTGTTGTACAATTGCTGTTTTAACGAAATATGTTTCTCGTTGCAATCATGAAAGAAAGAAGAAATGAATACAGAATAAAGTCGACCAAGCTTTTTGAAATTTATAATCTACCACCATACAGGGATTATTTCTCCAATTAATCATCATCCAAAATAATTATATTACATCTAAATAGACTGCTTATTGTGTCTCTCACAAACTGACAAAAGAGAGTTTCCTTATTATATCGTCATACAAAAATATACCCGACGTCTTTGTGTTTGTTAAGGGAATTAACTTTTAACGCTAATTTGAATTTAAATTAAACTTATTCTACTGCGGGTATTTACATATATGTAGAACGTCGAAAGAAACATAATCCGGCACGTAAACGAGGCCTAATACAAGTCCGAATCTGTCGTAGCAAGCAGGTGTCTTCTTAACAACTTATTCATTCCTCAGTGTGCGATATTAAGCACGAGGCAATGTTAGATAGTTTGAAATACGTGTCAGAGTTGGCAAAGACGAAGCCTCTCCTAGAACAATTGTAAATTTTTCATCAACAGTTGATAAGCTATGACGACCCACCCCTTCATTTTCACTCGATTAATAAATTATCTTGTTAACTTCATTATTGGAAACTAATTGTCATCACCAAAGGAGAATTGTTAATTGCTCAAGAGAATCGTAAGAACAAAAAAATTAATAATTTTCCTTTTACATCAAAGCTTACTTGGTACGGAAGTATTTTTTCGTCATATTGTGAACAAGAAATTAGACGCAAATAAATTGTATCAAGGGTCTGCTGGCGAAAGGAGAAGGACAAAATTTGAAAGTAAAAGGGGAAATTGCAGAAAATTTTTTGCTGGCGTGATAACTTGATTTTGTTTTTAGTTCTAGTCGGATACGAAAGGGAGAGAAAAAAAGCTACGAAGCGCAATTAGATACACAGTTAATTTCAAATATTTTGAAACAAGTTTGTATGTGTGGCCGTACACTAATTGATTGTCACGAGTCCAATTTTTCTCCTAGTAAAATTGACATCGCCGGCTTGAGCTTTTGAATTTTCAGCTTTCCGTACCTGATAATGATTCAAGCCTCTTTATATGGAATTTTTTATCGCCGTATAATCTTTTTGTACGCCCGCCTAGTTATATCATTTTACCTGGTAATATCACTCGCATCGTATACAAAGATTTTTCGCACTCGCAGATATCATCAAGCACAAGTGGGAGATCAACAGCAGCCGAGCCAGACAAATGCACTGAACATGGCGCGATTCAGAAAGGCAGTATACAGTGGACCGTGGGTGCAGTTAACACCAGTTGTTTGTTATGCAACAATGTATACAGTGACAATTGTGATCGCTCATACTGAAAAATATTCATTACTCTTAGTTGTCACACGGAAAGTAGCAGTTATTTTAATTTACTTTAACTGGAAGTTAAACCCGTTTCTTTATTGCTGGAAGATCAGTGAAGTGAGACAAGCAGTGAAGCAGACAATTAGACAAGCACTTTGCTGAGTTAGGTCTTCCTAGAGTTGTTCTTCAGACTTTTAAAGTAGACTCACCAAGTTACGATTATTATTGGAGAGAAGTCACTAGATAAGTTATTGGATAAAAACAAATAAGTGGCTCAACAGAATAGTTGCGCAGGCTGTTGTCTGTCTCTGTCCGACATGAAAGCTAGTGCCAAACACGATTGTGTACATGCTCCGCATGACACGCAAACGAAACTGAAAGTGTTGCGATCAAAAGGGCTTGCACTAAATCAAATCGATAATTTAGATATCCTTTGTAACTCTCCCGAATTACTTATTTTGTCCAAGGTAAATGCCAAGCATTGCTTGCGAATTTTTGTGAATTCGACAGCTGTAACTTGTTCAAACAAGCTCAGCTTAATAAGCTTGTAACTAACACGAAGCGGCAATACAATTAATACACGCCAGAATAAAGTAAAAGTTGGCAATCGTCGTCACTTAACTGCAGGAACGTCTTTCATTGTCGGAAATCACAGAAAGTTTGGAAAGATGAGGAACATTTGAAGGAGGAAATCTCAACTAAAAAAAACTTAAAATAAAAGTATTTACCTTACACTCAAAAATCTGATACAACCATGCGTTCTTACCTCTGTCGCGGAAATGGAAGGCATGTTTGACTATTTTACGACCTTGCTTCCTCAGTCCGTCATGAAAATGTTTCAAAGTCACTAAGACAGAGAAAGTACTATGAAAGACTCGAAAGCTATGAGAACGGAGAATCGCAACGGCGCGTTGTGAAAATGAAACTGGGAGTTCCTTGGCCCATAAATCTGTGCAAGCTTGAAGCCGGAAATTCTCCAACTGAAATTGAAAGAAGAGCCCACATATGGGCGGCTGTCATCGCCAAAAATACAAAAATAGAATTGGTTTGTAATAACAGATAGAGTCTAATTGTCTTTTGGAGAACGATTTATCTTATCCTAAGAGATTTATTTAAAATACAAATGGACAAGTCGCATTTGGTGAAATGAAATATTCAAACAAAAAATGGTTTATACAATTGAGGAGCTGTGTAGCCACCCTTGTTGAACTGATTCAATAAAAACATGAGTGGCCAAGTGTTAACTGAAATGGTTCAGTGTCGAAATGACAAACGGTTCAGCTAACTGTACTTTGGTTCAGTAAGTTGACAAAAACGGTTCAGAGTGGTGTGAAATGGCCTAGGTTATCGGCAAATGGTTAATCGTAGCCGCAATGGTTTAGTATCGCATCAATCTACTCACCGTAAAGTGAAATGGTTTAGCGTGACCCCAAATGGTTTAGCGTGACGACAAATGGTTTCCTACAAACCGAAATGGTTTCGTGTTACAGCGGTTGGTGCAGTTGGTTTACGCCGTAACCGCCAAAAATACATAAGTGAAATGGAAAAGTCAAGCTTGAAATTGAATAGGATAAGAATCTCAAGGGCGCCTCAAAACTATAAAAACTATATAGTTTTTAGG